GAAAGGGAAGGATTGTGGTATCTCGCCGCGCGCCCTGGCCGGTGCCCAGGCTCCCGGCCAAGGCGCTGGCTGAGGCACGTTTAAGGATGGGGCAGGCCCAGGTGGGCTCCCTCCTTCGCAGCCCCCGGTAGCGTCTGTTGCTTTTGATCTGCGGTGGGTTTGCAGCTTGACAGGCTAGGCCCTGAGACCGCTGCAGTGGAGGAGTGTCTGCCTGGCACCCAGCAGCCCTGTTACGCCTGCGAGGCAACAGCGGCGCCATAGCAGCCATCCCAAACCAAGGTGGTTTGGCGGCTCTGAGGAGATCGCCTCTCTGTTAAGAGCAGGAAGTTTTCCTAGCATAGTTGCACAGTGTGCCCATCTGTGCTGTACCACTCTGTATGGTGCATATTTTTCTTTCATCACACACCATTTGAAAGCCCCACCTTCCTGTGTGGGTGGATGCTGCTCACTAAAATGGTTAGCAAGGCCTCTGCACTGATAATCCTTTCTCCTTCCCCATCTGAAAGTAAGTATTCTTTGCAGCTTCCCTATTACCTACCAACACATTTGCCACATTGGAGACCAAGCCTCAGATTTGGATCTCCTTACCCTAATTTTTATAGTAGCTTAACATCGTTTTTATGGTTCTTGTGCAACATTCTCCAGCTGTTAGTCCTGAGTGTTATGAAGTGTTAGGACACCAGATCTGCAAGGTCTTGGGGACAGAACTACTTCAGATATGCAAACTTCTTTCTTTGTGGAGTTCCCTTGTATCTTCTAGAACCCCAAGAGTTTTTTCTTATTGTATCTGTGCCCTCTGTAGGAGGAAGGCAGAAGGATCCCATTGGTCTTGTTTAGAATTAAGGTTTGTTCTCTCCAGGTCTCCCTGCATTTCCAGCTTCTGAAGTTGAGTTGGCCTACGAACTATGTTCTTCTCTGGACTAAGTTATTATACACAATCTGTTTTTGCCCATCCGCTCAGATCATTGAATCGCTCGCTCAGTCTGTGAATCAACTAAAGCAGGAGAAAGAGCTCCGGTAGGAGCAGATCAATAAGCCAGAACGTGGTGAAGGTAAAGGCCCCGGAACTGAAGCACTGATGGTTACAGGAGCCTCTTGCACAGCTCGCTTCTTGCCTAGGTTGCTGAAGTCCTGTTGAAGAAACAACAGGCTGTGAGGGTAGCCTGGCACAATGTAGCTCCATCTCTATGCTAAACAAGCGAGCACAGACAAAGTGTTGGGTACAAGGCAAAAAGGGCTTTTTGAATTTTTCATTTCTTCATTTGCCTTTTCTGTAGTGATCTAAAAACCTGAGAAGCACCTTGCTTCCCAGGAGAGAAAATGGACAGTGGAAAACAAAGTTGAAGATATTTCCTGGAGGGCCATGACCAAGCCTGGTCTGGAGTCAGGTATCCTCACGTGGAGTCCTTTGCTGAAACCCTTGTGATACACAATATTTAGCTGCCCAAGTTGCCTTTGAGGGTGGTTAGTTCAAATATTTGAATTCTTAATGTGCATCTTGCCTCTTTTTCTGTCTGAACATAGTGGTCCAGGAAGACAGAGTTTCTGAGGTCTGCTGAGCATACAGCATAGTGTCAGAGGGGGATTCTTGGGCTTCTGCTGCACTCTGCCTCTGTCAGGGATCACTATGGGGCTGAACCTTGAAACCATCTTACTAGGTGTTCCTTGATCTTACTCTTATCCCTTCTGTCCCAGCAACTGAAGCGCGAGGCTGGGACCTTAGCACCTCCTGCCTTTCCTGCTTGCTGTTACAGAGGATGCTCAGTCATTGCAGAATAGCACTTAGAGCAGCTTGGAGGCCTTGCCAAGGAGGGCAGAGGAGTTGAAAGGTGAATGCCATAACTAGCAACAGCAAGTGCTTCACCAGCAGTATGGAGGCTGTGCATCTCATTTGTACCCCAGTGCCAATAGTCCACAAGAAATAAATGAGATGTCAGTGTCAATACCGTTGCAGATTCAGGGCTGGAGCAGGGGAGGTACTGGGGGAAAGTGTAAGTTTTCCCACTTTCCTTAAGCAGTGAAAAATTACTGTGACAAAATGATGAATGTGTGAGGAAAGAGTTGGAGCAACTGCAGCATAAAGTCAGTGAGTGGTGGTGTGTTCTGCTCCTCACATGGTCTGAACTCCCATTCTGCACAGGACAACCCTTTGCTGCCCAAGTGGTCTAGCAGAAACAGCCCCTGGTGGGAAGCACTGTAATGTTTGTTGTAGTTGAGGATCTCTGTTCAGGAAAATGAAACCAGGGAACACTACTGAACAGCCAGTGCTGGAGGAGAAGTAAAGAAGAATGCACAGGGCTGGCAAGCTGTCACTCCATGCTGTGCTCTGGGAGAGCTGTGGGAGGAGAACACGCGTGGGGCTTGCCTGCAGCCTCTGAATCCACCCTTTGCCTTGGGAGAGACGTGGGTGGATGTAGTTCTGTAAGGTTTTGCCTGGCAACAGAGATGGAAAATCAGGTGCAGAATGTAGTTTAGCCATGGTCTTTTTCTT